CCACCCCAGAGTCCTGTTGGCCTGTGGAATTCTACAACCTGCCTTATTACAATGCCTTATGTTATCCAACAGTCCTCAATGACTGTGGACCCTGACACCCCACATCACGAAGATCCTAGAATGACTTCTGTTGGTTCAACCAAACAACCAAACAAGCAGCTGTCAGGACTCCCTGCAGTTTGCTTATCATCGTGGAGATGTATTTGAGGAGGCCATCATACACCATCTTCAGCAAACCCACTGTCGTTTAAACTAGGTAGACAGCACTGTGATGATCTAGTTCTTTGATGGATCCAATGCATTTATGCAGCACGATGCAGCATATCTTTTATAAGTCTGTTGTGGGGAGTGTGATCACTTCGGTTGGGCTAATAGCATCAACACAAATAGTTTTAAGAAGCTCAACAAGCTGATAAAAATCCATTCTGTTCTTAGAACTCCTGTAAACCTCTGCAGGGGGATTAATATCACACCCCTTCTCACCCCACAATGACCTCTCTGAAAAGACTATAGAATTAACAAACAGGAGATCAGTCATCTTTACATTTATGAATATGCGACAAAGCACTGTGAGGAGTGTTTGTCGGAGTAGAATGACAAATGTGTTTTTTTTTTTTTTTATGCATGAATGCTGCTGAATAAGACCGACCGTTTTTCCCTTTTCATTGTTTTTTCTTTCGATCTCCAGTGTTTCAGGTCTGACTGGTTCTGTAGTCTATGACAGCTTAGATGTACTTTTATGTTTGAATGTTAACTCACTCCCTTTGTCACAGCAGACCTTTACTCCTAGTGGAGCTGAGATTGAATTTGTATTATTGGCTCTACAAGCAAAGACAGCTTATTCTCACCACATGGTATACATTAAAAAAATAACAAATAATATTTTTTACTCCAATAACGTAATCTAGACTTTTTACAGGGGTTTTATACTATTTTACAGACCTTGGAGCAATAGACGTTTCTAATACTGGCATTTATGGTGTTAGTGCTCCTCATCATGCTCAGGCAGTTGGCTTTTCTCTCTTTGCGTTATTTAGTTCTAAAGCTTTGTGTTTTACTTTTTTCCTACCAACAGTTCATCCAGAGCTGATTGTAACCACATTACTTTACAGGTTGGAGATATTGTGTTGCAAGTCCTTTTGACCATTTGCAAACATTTCAGTTGCAGAGGAAATGATTTCTAAAGGCTATTTAAAAACAGCCTTTAGAATACCATCAAATAGAATAGAATAGTACTTTATTGATCTCACAATGGAGAAATTCCCTTGTGACATTGGCTATTATGAACAACAGGTGGTGCACAAATGAGGACAAGGTGCATGGAGTATATACAGTGCATCCAGATATATACAGTGGATGATAAAAATAAAGGAGCGATTTAAGTGACGTATAAATAGAGTATGTTATGTATAGTAAAGTGGTGGCTGGTAGTGTGGTTTATGGTTTGTTAAATAGATAAATAGTATAAGTTATTGCAGTGTAATTACACCAGGTCATAGTGCAGTGGCATTGTAAAGTTTGATGGCAGCAGGGATGAATGACCTGCGGTAGCGCTCCTTTTTACACAGGGGCTGTGTAAGTCTCTTACTAAAGGAGCTCCTCTACAGTCTGGTGCAGAGGGTGAAAGGTGTTGTCAATGATGAATGTAAGCTTGGACAACACCTTCCTCTCTACCACTTTGTCCACCGAGTCCAGAACACAGCCCAGGATAGAAGTGGCCCTCCTCACCAGCTTGTTCAATCTCTTTCTATCCCGTCATGCCTGGGGCTCAAAGCAGACGACAGCGTCGAGGAGGGCTGAGGCCACTACAGAGTCATAGAACATTATTAAGCAGGAGCCGGCTGACTCCAAAGGACTCCAGCCTCCTCAGGAGGTGGAGGCGGTTCTGGCCCTTGTTGTACAGGGCGTTGTTATTATGAGTCCAGTCCAGTTTATTGTTGATGTGAACACCCAGGTATTTAAAACTCTACACTGTCTATGTCCTGTCCTTTGATGTTCACAGGATAGTGAGGTCTTCCCCTGAAGTCTATCATGATCTTCTTGGTACAACTGGTGTTTAAACACAGGTGGTTGTTCTCACAACAGTCCACAAAGTCCATGATGACCGACCGGTACTCCAGTTCGTCCCCTTCAGACACACAGCCCACAATGGCCAAGTCATCAGAGAACTTCTGGAGTTGAAGTCCGAGGTGCAGACAGTGAAGAGAAATGGGGGCCCTGATGCTGTAGACTGTGACCTCTGACTGATAGCCATGCAGCCACAGGTACTAAGGGTGGTCAGCGAGGTAGTTGATGATCCAGGCAGCAAGATGTCACTCCAGCATCCTCCAGTTTCCCCCACAGCAGCGCCAGTCTTATGGTATTGGTAGATAATAGCGTCCTGTACTCCGATGTTGGGTCTCTGGGCAAACTGCAGCGGCTCCAGGGTGGGGCTCACCAAGGTGCCGAGGTGTGTGAGGATGAGACACTTCATGGTCTTCATCAGAAAAAAAAGTGGACCGGTTACTTGGTGTGCAGTGTTTTGGGAACCGGTATTACACAGGGGGTCTCCACAGGGTGGGGACCACCCACAGGCTGAGGCTTGGGTTGTAGATGTAGCTGACGACCTCATAGAGCTTGTCTGCAGAGTTCATCTGGAGAAGCACTTCATTAAAGTTCATGATAAGAACGTGGAGTCCTCTTTGGGTTGATCTAGCAACACTGTATAATTTTATTTCACAAGAACAGAAGGCTTTGTCTGAGCCACTTAGCAACAGCATGACCTCTCTGTTTATCCAGAGTTTTACTTGAAAAATATAAACTGCCTTTCCACAATGACCTGTTTGTTCAAAAGAGACGTACAGTTGTAGGATTGTATCCTCTGACCAGAATTGTGTGAGTCTCATTATAGTCACAGGCACGTAAAAAGGGGTGAGGGACAGTGAGACTGACCAAAGTGGGGGAGAGCATATACTCCCTCCAGATTACTCTATATATGGGTTTTATCTCCTCTGGTTTTCCGTGTAAAATATTGATGAAAGGAAGAACAGTCCACATTTTTGTGTGGTTGGACCCAGCTACAAATGTTATCTTGGAGCTTACATTGAAGTTTTCATATTGTTTTTAGCAGGGTTTTCAAAGCAATGTCAGCATTTGTGCTATAGAGAGAACATAGAGTAATAAAACAACAACGATAAACCTTTGCAACTGAAAAGAAAAGTCTGTGATCTTCTCATTATAAGCTCTGAATCTGTGTAGTTGGGATTGGGTCGGTACAATAGCCACTACAGTTAATAATATTGTTGGATAGTGTGTCTGTAATCTGTCATTGAAACATATTTTAAATTCTGTGCTAAAGAGTCACAATAAATCAAAAATTTAAATAAACTGAATGTGTAAATTGAATAAAATGTATAGGTTACAGGTCAACAAACTGTTTGCCTCTGTCCATCTCATCACATCTGAGCACAACTGAACCAAAAGTTTGGAGATAGCATTACCACCCCCTCTTGTGCTGACGACTTGCTATAGCACCTACAGAAAAAGCTGTATATTGTTCTTGAGCAAAGCACATAACAATGTCATAATAATTGATTGGTCATGATAAATCTTATTATGGAGAGTTAGTTTCTCCGTCTTATGAGACAACACAGTCACAGTTATATCGTTGGATTAAATAATTAGAAAATGAGATAGTACCTCAAATATGTGTTTTAGTAGTTGGGGATAAGCTTGCAGTTAAATTAAATGTAAACAGAAGTCTCTTTTACCAACCATGGGACTTCTGAGGCAGCATGCAGGTTGAGTGAGGCCAAGCACACCACTGTCTGGGCAGTTGCTGATGCAAAAACTCCCGGGACGAGTTTGGATGGAAATTTTACTGGTCAGCTTCAAAGTGATTCTGGCAAACCATCCAGTGCCTCCGCAATGGGAAACACCACCTGCTAACACTTTTTTTAGTGGGAGTGAGGAGCTACTAACATCACCAGAGGACGTTGTTGCCCTCTTCAGCAGGTAGAAGTACAGCCATCAGTGGAGGAATGAGAGAGAATGAACGGGGGCATTAATAGTTGGATTGCTGCGGCTGCTCATATGATGCGAGGAATTCTGACTCAGAATTTTGACTTTTTTCTCAGAATTCTGACTTTAATCTCAGAATTCTGACTTTTTTTCTCAAAATTCTGACTTTAATCTCAAAATTCTTACTTTTTTCTCAGAATTCTGAGATTAAAGTCAGAATTCTGACTGAATTCTGACAGCTAACAAACATGTTAGCATTAAGCCGAAGCCATGTTTGTTTTAGAGACTAGCTCTCTTGTTTTAATCACCTTCTGCTCTTCCATTAATGAAATAACATCACCGATGAATAACATGGCCTGATTGCGTTTTTTTCAAGCAATGTGTTATTGGCCCTCCCAAGCAACTCACATCTTTGTCAGTGAAGCTGAGTGCTCCCACATCTCCACCTTCATGGTGCCTATCTACATTAAGATCCAAAATTCTGAGATTAAAGTCAGAATCCTGTGATTGAAGTCAGAATTCTGAGAAAAAAAGTCAGTTTCCGAGATTAAAGTCAGAATTCTGAAATTAAAGTCAGCATTCTGAGAAAAAAGTCAGAATTTTGAGAAAACAATTTAGAATTCTGAGATTAAAGTCAGAATTCTAAGAAAAAGTCAGAATTTTTAGAAAAAAAGTCAGAAATCTGGATTAAAGTCAGAATTCTGAGAAAAAAGTCAGAATTTTTAGAAAAAAAGTCAGAATTCTGAGATTAAAGTCAGAATTCTGATAAAAAAAAAGTCATAATACTAAGACTAAAGTCAAATTCCTGAGGAAAAAAGAATTCTGACTTTTTTCCCCAAATTAAACTGAAATCAAATTTTAAAATCAGTCAACTTTTTTTTATTTTTTCCGCGTCCCTAATCCTCTTCCGTAGTTTTCTCATGACAGTTTAGGACGATGCGCGTTCCCGTGACAGGGGACGCAATTCTCGGTTTGTCATACGCACGCTAACGTATTACGTCACAGCCTATTCACAACTAGCGTGCTGCGTTCACGGCTCTGTAACTGTTGAAACTCTGCGGTCCCGTTGCTTCTCACAGTTTCAGTTTTGCCTTTTTTGCAGAATAAATTCCCGCTGTGAAGCTGTGATGGACCGCTGGAAGGGCAGAGTGGCTTTGGTGACCGGAGCTTCTGTCGGAATCGGAGCAGCTATCGCTAAAGAGCTGGTCCGGTTCGGCATGAAAGTGGTGGGCTGCGCACGGGACGTAGATAAAATAAAGGTTTGTTATCAAGTTAAACTTTACGTCAACACTTTGACAGACAAGGATTTAGGTCATGGTGATTAATTGTAACCTGTTGCAAATCCCAAATGTTGCCTTTAAACCCCCGAGGGAACAATTTGCACGGAAAAGTTTTAATTTAGGGATGAAAGAAACATTAAAATTCAGCATGAGCTGCATATCATATGACTTTAATGTGACAGTTTATTTTAGATCCTCTAAAATCTGCTATTACGCAATGTGAACTTGGTTTAACAAGGTCCTGTGGGTAAAATAGGGACGTGTTTGAGCTGACTTTATAGTTGGACTATTTTCCATCATAAAAAAAAGGGGGACTGAGCAGAGCGTTTAATAAATCTAGGCTGTATTTTCCTGGGCACTAGGGGTTATTGATATTGATGATGTGACAAACTGCCCAGAGCTACTCTCTGTCAAAGTTCAGATGTCTGTTTCTCTTTAAATTTTCTGTAGCTTTGTTTTGTATGTTAAAATCAGTGGGAATTCCTTTCCCCTCTGTACTGTATACATTTGAAGTGGAAATTTATATGCCATGAAGATCACTATGACCTGATGATTCTTTATAACACAATTTTAAAACCATTCCGGCTTTGAAAACACACAAAAAAGCATTTCAATGTATCTTTTCTGAAAAAGAAAAAAGAAAAGTAAAATATCTGGGCACAGTGAAATGCTTGCCAAGGGTTAGGAATAAAGATGCAAGACATGTCTATTTCTAGATGGTTTATATCCAAAGTGGTATTGTAACGCATACTGTAGGTGTAAAAAAAACAAACAAACATTGATCTATTACTGAAATAAAGAACAATTGACCAAAAACTAAAGCAAAAGGGTTTTTCTTTCAGAATCTGGCTACAGAGTGTCAGAGCTCAGGCTACAGTGGTGTGTTGATTCCTTTCAAATGTGACCTGTCCAACGTGGAGGAGATCCAGTCCATGTTCACAGCCATAAAGAATGAGCACAAAGGCGTGGATGTGTGCATCAACAACGCCGGCGTGGCTCACCCTGAGCCTCTACTGAGCGGCAAGACCAGTGCCTGGAAGAACATGCTTGATGTAAATCTGATTCTGATCCAGTTCTAGAGGGAACTTTTGCTGCTGCAGCCAGCTGATTTTATTTTATTTAAGTGTTGAGTTTTTAAAATGCATTTGGGTGTTTTGCAGGTTAATATTGTTGCTCTGAGCATCTGCACAAGAGAAGCATATCAGTCAATGAAGGAGAGGAATATTGATGATGGGCACATAATCAACATAAACAGGTAAGCTTTCAGTTTAGGGTGAATTGCAGGTTAGGGTAGTCTTCCAAAATCTAGACTTGAACGAATAAACTTCTATTTATTCTATTGTGATTTTATATATCAGTCCAAAGCAGTGTATTTGGTTAATTATGGGGGGAAAGGAGAACGAGCTGTGTTTGAAAAAAAAAATATATATATATTTTAGGGAAAAAAATTCTCAAAGGCATGATTAGTACTTAGACCCCCTGATTGAGCACATTTAAGAACCACCACTCACAGGGAAAGCTGTGAGACCATACCGGTTGCCAGGTCAACAGGGACTGGGTCGTAGCACGGCAACATTAAAGATGGGGACTGAAGACAATTCAGCCACAATGATTTTTTTGTGCAAATACTTTTGAAGGATGCGGAGGCTGATTTGGTGTTGTTGAAACTCCTTTGGATCAGGTTTTGGAGGGATTCATAATGGCAGACTGCTGCTTTTTTTCCAAATATAAAATACCAAACGCTGCTCTCCATTTTGGCAACCCTGAGAACTGTCACATCATGATTGGCTCAGGCACTTGGCAATAAAACACAAGCTACACATGACACCGAAGTAATTCCTCACCTTTTGTCTAGTTTTAAACAAGAATCAGTGGACTTACAAATTGTTTATGGAAAAGACTGAGAATTAAAAGGATCTTATTTACTGTAATTTTCTTACTCATTGCTCCTTTAATGTTTCCTTCTTTTCCATTGTCTATAAAAGCAAAATTCATATATACACAACCAACACAACATTTATACACAACATTTTTCTTTCAGTTTTAAAATGGATTAAACAGTGCTCAGTGCGATAATAAAACCTTGTTTTTTGTAAACAAAACCTATTTTTATTGTTGTATCCTTTTATCTATATGAATTTGTCTTTGTCGCAAACTTTCTTTGACAAACATTCGAGGCCTTTAAAGAACTTCTGTTTATTCTGAGATTTAGTTATTCACACAGTCAAAAATGATGTGACAATAATATCTACCTTTTAGGGTTAATACCATCTACGATCTCCCTGCTTTACAACTCTTTTTTTTTTTTTTTTTTGCTTCTTGGTGCTGGGCTATCACATTAAATCCCAATAAAATATATTGCAGTTTGTAGTTGTAGTGAGGGGGGAAAGGGGGGTATGTTAGAGGCCAGTTAACTTAGTAAAACACACTGTATTTAATTAACAATTGTTTTTTTTTCCCACAACCCCATTCTATTATCCAAAGATATTGTTCTTCTAAATAAAAAAAAATTAAAAAAAATTGCACATTTTTAAGCATATCTGATATTTCTTTGGTTTTGACATTGATTGTGAGGGATCTTGGGGTTTTAGTTTTTTTCCTGGTGTCCAATGGGTAGGGGAAATATGATATAGGGAATTATCAGTAATTGCAGTATTAAAGTTGGATATCAATATATGCCCATATTTCCATATGTATGTATTTATAAAAGTTAGTAGTAAATTAATTCTAATAATTTAAATTAAATAAAATTAAAATGAATAATTTACTAATCCCAAGTGGAAGTGAGATGTTTTAGTTGTTTAGTTAGTTGTTTTAGCCCTAAGCCCTCACTTGAAAAAAGAGGACACACATATTTTAAAAATAAAACAATAAAGGTAAATGCTACTTTTAGACTCTTATTTGTTTAAAAATATTGTATATAGGCCCTTAAAAGTCCATCTTCTGTTGCAGCATGTCTGGCCATCGCATTACGTTCAATGCTGATGTTCACTTCTACACGGCAACCAAGTTTGCTGTGACCGCCCTGACTGAGGGCCTCAGGCAGGAGCTGCGAGAGGCCAAGAGCCACATTAGAGCCACAGTAAGGTTTTTTCCACTGCCTTTTTGGATTTTGAATTAGTGCTTTGTCTTATTTAACCCTCCATGCTAAACATAACCAAAGGACATTTAGCAGTTTATCACAAAGTGCTGCAAGCTCTGTGAACACCAGCAAAAATCTAGAAAACAGGCCTTGCTCTGTGTATTATTACACCTGTTCTCTTTCTGCAGGGCATTTCTCCAGGTTTAGTGGAGACAGAATTTGCTCCACGCCTCTATAGTCAAAATCCAGAGAAAGCAGCTTCAGCTTACTCCCATTACAAGGTAAAGCAATTACCCATGTAAGGTGGTATTTTAAAGAAATACTGCATTAATGCCTTCACCATTTCAGTCACTATCCTTAAGCTATTAGATTTTTTATTTAACCAGGTAAGAAAGTTTCTCCATACACATTTTTTCTGCCTTTTCTGCTCATTTATTAGATCACAGCGGGTTCTTATATAATCAACTTTGGGCAGATTTCTCCATCTTTTAATACAGAGTAACATAACATTTCAGTCACGTTTCTGCTTGTGATTTCAGCTTGCTTCTACTACTTTTCAGAAAAGAAATGAAGCATTTCTATTTTTTGCTATCTCATACCATTTCAGGCACAATTTAAGTCACAATATGAGGCACACTTAGGTCTGAACACTCCATTTGTTTTTCTAGTTTATTCTGAAGTATTTTATATCAGAAACTGATTTTTGTCTTTTTTTTCCCAGGCTCTTGAAGCAATAGATGTTGCCAATGCCGTCATATACGCCTTAAGTGCTCCGCCACATGTGCAGGTTACATGTTTTCTTGTTGCCAAGTTTTAAAGTGTTTTCTGTCATTTTAATAACAGAAGTACAAATAACCTTTTTTTATATACTTTTTCAGATTGGAGACGTTCAGATGCGACCTGTTGAGCAAGTACCATAGAGCTGTAAAACATAAAGTGCAGAACCCATACGCTAATGCAGGATTCCTCAGTTCAGGCCCTCGAGGGCCTGTGTGCTGCATCTTTTAGATGTGGCTCTTCTTAGGCTCACCTGAATCAAATAATGATGTCAAATCATGTCAGTAGCAGCACTTTAGAGAACTTGATTGCACACTGAAGTTATTCAAACTCTTGGTTCAGGTGTGGAAGCAGAGACTTATCTAAAAAGAACATCAGACTCTGAGGGCAGGAATTGAGGAACCTTGCACCAACGCTTCACTTGATCTGTTCACCATATCATTGAAATCTCTAAGCAACAAATAAAAATCTGATCTAAAGGTAAAATGTGTTACATTTTATTCCCAATATTTGAAAAGAAAAAAATCAATAGTATTGTTATATAATGAGATGAAAAGTACAAAGTGCATTGGTTTGGTAAACTACAGTTGGCCTGCTTGTCTAGATTAAAGACAACTGGAACCAATTAATTTCTCCCAATGAGACCTCTGCACAAGTTTGTCCATTATTTGGAATGTTTTCAAGTAGGGACACTTGCCTTAGAGGCAGTCAAGTGGTATAATATGTAAACCTCCAAAACATAATCTCTCAAGGATCTAATTCATGACATATTTGGACATAATGGATTAAAAATTTTCACTTCTATTTAAGTCCTTCCTTACTGCCAATTGCAGTAAACAGTGGATATATCTACTTTCTCTCGGCACAGGTTAATGTTTTAATGTAATAAAGTACCGTGCTGACATAGCCCACCTGACTGTAACCTGTATAAATCACACCTCGGGAGCTAGGATTGGTCCTTTGATATTCTCCTCTTCAACCTGGCATGTTCAGCAAATTGACTGCTCCATAAGTCCATGTTTAGTATTTTTCTGTAGGTCTAAAAAAAAGGGGGCAGATTTCGTTCTGCTATAAGCGTCTACGTGTAACTAGAATTTAAGAGCGTACCTTTGTATCCCTATGTGGTTTGCGTTACCTTGCCTTCTTTTTTTGCATTAGGTTTGTGGAGCATTGGAGGGTTGACATCTCATCCACTACCAGCACTGACTGGTTTGTGGGCTTTTTCTCTTCTTTATTGTTTTTTTTTTTTTTTTGCGGATGAGTGTGGAACCACACGGATTACTAGGGTAGAGTGACTAGGGCTCATTCACACTGCAACCTGAAGTGACCCAAATCCGATTTTTTTGCCCACATGGGACCTTGATCTGATCTTTTCATAGCTGTCTGAACAACACAGATCCGATTTTTCCCAATCCAACCCAGGACACTTGGCTATGTGGTCCTGTATCCGAAACGAATCTGATCTTTTCAAATGCGACCTGTCTCTGAACTGCCAGGTCGGATTCATACAACCTGAACGTCATTAATACCCGACATGGTTCACTATTCTGCTTCTTGCTACACAGAAGCGGCAAGAAAAACAAACACGATGGCGGACGATGATACAGAGAGCAGTATTTTTTTTTACTATCTTGAAAACATTGAGGTTTTAAGGTTTGGAAAGATCGCAAAGATGTGCTCCAGCGCTACCATCCATGTTTGCTTCTGTAAACATGTGGCGTCATTGCGTCCTCTACTGCACATGCGGGACACTTAACCTGTATGAATGCAGTTTACACAGATCATATACAAGTTGCATATATTTGGAAATATGAACGGCAACACAAAAAAAACGGATTTCACAAAAAAATCGGAATCGAGCATCAAGGCCTGCAGTGTGAACGTAGCCTAATTCGGGAAGCTGGGCGACAGAATGTCTGTGAGGGCCTCCAATTCAGTCCCTCTAGGAGAAGTGGAACCTCCCTCTGGGTCTCCTTGCTCATGAAACAGAACCTCAGAGTATGGCAGTCCACTATGGCTTGGGGTTTCTTCATCTCCCCCTGCAATGCTGGTCCTCCACATGGACCTCCTGTTGCAGTCAGGTCATTGGGCACAGCTCTTCTCCACTGCTGAAGAGACACCGCTAACTGGCATGGTGTGGTTGCTGCACGACGTTGCCGCAGATGATACCCTATGTTGGACAGCAGACACACAGTGTAGGGACAACGGGTCTTACGTGGTTCTTTGGCCCCAGCAGAACATTAAAGGGCACATCCAATGTTTTTCTGATGCTGGACAGGCAGTGTCAACCGTAAAGGTTCATCTGGCAGCTAATTCAGTGAATCACTGCCAAAAATATGGCAGACAGGTGTGGGGGGCACTACTCATCAAGGACATCCATCAGATAGGACAGAGGTTTGCATCGTCCAAAGAAAAGCCAGTGAATATATGGAACCTTGCAATGGTATTTTGGTCCCTTTGTGGGACACCCCTTCAGCCAGTGTATGAAATCCCACTGAAAATGCTGTCTCTGGAAAAAAAAAAAATGGTTTTCTGAGATGTGGCTAAGTACGTGACTGAGCTCTATGCTTTTGCTGTGACCACTACCTGTTTGCATTTGAAGGTAGACAGATCCAGGAATCTGGCCCAACATTACATTGCTGCCAAAGGTGCTTCTCCTGGGCTATATGAACATGGCCATCAAGCTAGGTGCACACTGCCTTCCCCATTCCTGTTTAAGGAACAGAGGCTGGATAAGTTACGTTGCATCGTTGCACAGCAGCTAAAAATACAGCTGCTATTTTTCAGTTAGACCAGTTATTTGTCTGTCATGTTCAAAAACAGAAGACATGCACTCTAAAAGCAGAGGCTTTCACATTTTGGTTGATGATACTGCACTGACATCTGTGGTTGCAGCTGCACCCATTAGCTTTACGTGCTATTCCGCAACAAGCACAACTGACTTAGGCTGTTGTGAGAGATATACAGCTGGGGAACATTTGTGTGGTCTTTTGGCATCTTGGGCATTTCTATGCACGTTTTCACAGTTCTACCACCTCTGCATTGGCCAAAACTTTATTGAGCAGTAGGTGAGTGCCCTGTTCCTCATGGGTTGCATAAGTGATCCACTTTGTTTATTGCCACTGGCAGTCAGGAAGGTAGGAAACAGAGCAGTGACAAGTTACAGTGTAACTAAGGTTCTGTGAAATCTGGGATAAATGACTCTCACTGATCACTTGATTTCTCAAAAGAAGATCCCAGGACATCAACCATAGCTCTCCTGGTATTATTTATACACCTAACTCTCAGGTGGGCTATGTCACCGACATGACTTTTAATTAGAATTTCAACCTGTGTGGAGTGAAAGGAGACACATCCACTTAGTTTACAGCTACTGGTCCTCATCCAAGAATTCACAGAACCATAGTTATTGTTTAACTTCAGATTTTTTTCAGTTACAAGACAACCTTTTGAACTAAATCATTGCAAGCTAAAAGCATCGGTATATGTAGCATTAATGTATAGTAGCGGACATCTGAAAAAAATCTGACAAAAGATCCGTCAAAACATTTGAATCCAGATGTTTGGGTGTCAAAAATACTTTAAAATGTGTGAGAAAAGCTCATAACTCAACGTTCCTGAATTGATTGCTACAACTTGATTTTATTATTTATTTCTTCCCCAATTGTAAGGCTGGTATAAAGACGCAATAAGCTGTCATCGATAAATTATCAATGACTTTAAACCAACAAAGAAGCAAATAAATCAAATAGTTTTTTTTCAATGGAATATGGAGGATATCTAGCTAGTAGTACATAAAGAAACAAAAGACAAGTGCCTGTGGATGTTGGATTTCTTTAACATTTAGAATCAGATATTTTGTAGGAATAGCATGAAAAACCTCATTTGCAATTCACAAAACCATTCAAGTTTCTTTCTTGTGTATTCTGTGACCAGGACATTTAGGAATCGGTCTGCATATTGTTAGAAAATTTATCTTGACAGCAGGAAATAACAAAATCCATCCCTACAGTAGAGTGCTTTTTTTGCTGCACCATTGGCTGCAAGGACAGTAACCTTGGCAGTATTGTGCATGTGAAAGATGGTTGTACAAGAAACCTGGATATTTAATATATTTAAAAAAACATCTGCTGATAGAAGATTTCACCAAAGCTCTTTAAATTATTACAGGGAAAACAAGCTGGAGTTAACTGGAGAAAAGAACTATTTAACAAGTTTCTCAAATGGTCAAAAGAGGACATTTACTTCTTCAGTCTGATGGCTTCAGTGCAGAAGTTCCTTCTGTCATTTTTAAGGATCACAGATCTTGGATGCATGTCTACTGAATCTATTAGGACGTTTTTTCATTGGGATTTTTTGCTACTTTACAATAAAAATACTGGAAACGAAAAATTATATTTTGTCTGAATTTAAATTAAGAAAAAGAAAGTAATCCATGTTTTTGTAATAATTATTTTTGTAATCTAATGAACTAATTTAATTGATCCATTTATCATCGACAACATGGAAATGTATCCAATGCAACAAAACAGAGATACACAAGAATATGATTTTCAATGGATTTCATTTATTGGGGAAAAAGGTTCACTTTCTTTAATCTAAGAAAAGATGACCATATAATACTCACATCCAAATGAATCAATTCAACCTGGGTGTTTAATTTTGTTTTTTTTTTAACAATAAACCACATTGATTTTACACAAATTTGAACAATTTGCAATAAAAACAAAATATGTTCTTCTTGTATGGAAACCCTGTTTTCCCATTTTATTTAAAACAATTTCAATAACAATCTTTATATAAAACAATAGAAATAGAAATGAAAGAATCCCACTAGTCTTTAAAAAAACATTAAATCTAAAATAGTCAAAAATAAAACATTGTTCTTCTGGGGGACTTCAACACTCAAGTGGACGAGGACAGTGAGACCTGGGGAGGCGTAGTTGGGAGGAATGGGCCACCTGACCTGAATTTGACTGGTGTTCTGATTTTGGACTTCTGTGCTTTTAATGGATCGTCTATAACGAACACCATGCTCAAGCTTAAGGGTGTACATATGTGCTCTTGGCACCAAGACACCCTCGGCCGTAGTTTAATGATCGACTTTGTTGTTTCATGCGACCTGCAGCCGCATGTCTTGGACACTCTAATTCACAGACGATGTTGTGTGGTGATGAGCAGGCCCAAGTGACTAGGGACGTCTGGGCCTCCCTACTGAAGCAGTTACCCCGCTACCCGACCCCGGATAAGCGGAAGAAGACGGATCAATGAAAATACATTGTGAACATTTTATTTGTCCTAACAGCACATGAACAACACCATGTAACAGGAACAGTGGTAACAGGTTAGGGGTTAACATCCGACAGTGGGGCTTCCTCTTGGAACCAGTGGGCTGCCGGTTAGAGCCTCAGCTCTGTCAGACATTATGAGATTTGCTATGCTTCATCCTCCAAGGAGATTTTATTGTGGATTGGTGATAAACAGATTACTATTAACTTAGGAAACAAAGATGTGTGTGCTTCGGTGGTGCAGTGTTTAGCACGCGAAACCCATGTACGGAGGACTTAGTCCTTAACGTGGCCGACATGTAGTCACTGGTCCTATGCAGCATGTCTCTTCCACGCTCTATTACCCCCTTTCCTGTCTACCTATTTTACAATAAACCATCCACTAGTGCAATAAAAACCTAAAAAAAAAAAACAAAGAACAAGAGTACATCCCCCTAAATATTTACAAAGAATAACAAAAAGAACATTTCAACTGTCAAAGATCCTAACTGAATAACTACTGATAAAAACCCCTTTTTCTGATGCTGCTTGGATCAAATTATAAATAAACTACAGCTATTTTTTACAGTGTGATTTTCTATAACTATCTGATAACACTACTAATTTCTAATATCCAACAATAAATGATTGCCTGTTTTTTACAAATCTTATTTGGAAGAGAATCTACACAGCTGAGAAAGGAGAGTCTCAGCTGTGTATATTCTCATGTGGACGGGTCCATTTCTCCCTTCAAATGGAAGCACTTTACATCTTTTTGACCCCTTAAAGCTTTTTTTTATTGTATTTACAGATTCTCATGTGTCGCAACATATGATCACTTCTGCTGAACGATTTCTTACACGAGCTGCAGGAGAACGGCTTCATGCCAGTGTGGACTTGTTCGTGCCTTTTCAGTTTGGATGAATTAACGAAATGTTGTCCGCACGTTTTACAGACAAACGCCCCCCCGCTCCTGTGACTCTTCATGTGACACAAAAAGCTACGTTGACCTCTGAAATATTTGGCACATTTTTCACAATAAAAGGTCTTCCTGACTCCTTCGATCACCGGCTGTTTGCTCAGGGGCGCCGTGGGGTTAAACTCTGTCTGGACGTCGCTGCTCCCAGGACCTTTCTCACTTAAGTGGATTTTCATGTGAGCCAGCATGTGGTCCTTTCGACTGAAGCATCGACTACATATCATGCAGGTAAATGGTTTCTCACCTGTGTGGACCCTTGTGTGTCTTTTAAGGATGTAGGATTTGGTAAAATGTTTCCCGCAAGTGCCACAAACGAAAGGCTTGCCCACTGAACGAGAAAGCAAGCTGCTATGTTGACCGAGCGTTTCTGTGTGGATTCTCATGTGGTGGATCAGTTGGCTGTTTTGATTGAATAATTTCTTACAAAAGCCACATGAAAACAGGGTTTTACCCGCATGGGTCGCCACATGTCTGGTCAATTTCCATTTAACCTGAAAGGTTTTCCCACAAATGCCACATTCAAAAGGCTTCCAGGGTGCATCAACATTAGACCCCCCCTCTGACACTGGAGTGAAGTCTGTCCCAATTTTGTACTGTTTTACTTCTGGCTTCAGTTCTGTATTCTTACAATCTTCTGGATCTGATTCCCTACTTCCTGGATAAAATTCCTCCTGACAATCAGAATAGGCGCGAGGCTGGTTCAGGTCATCGTTTGTTTCTGGATAACTAACGCTGCTATTCTCAAGAAAACCAGGGTATTGTCTCAAGTCAGTGTTTCCTAGTTGCTCATGGCTAGAAGTTGGCATGAAACTGTTTGATTCCTCCTGTTCTTCCTCCAGCGTGCCGAATAAATTCTCCAGCTCCTCTTTGATTTGTGGTTCCGATTCCTCCTGATCCTGACTGGAGTCACTCTCTAGCAGCTCTGTAGTGGTTCCTTTTTCCACATAGACCTGTTGCTGTAGAAGATCTACAGAGGAAAAGAGAAGCAGCAAATGACTAATTATCATCTTGAGGAGAAATAAATGTGTGATATTTCCTGGACCGTCAAAATCGACAAGAAATAGCCCTAATCAAATAGCAACTAGATATATGAGCTTATGAAATACACGTACAAAGTATCACCACCACTATGGTGTGAATGAATAAAATGCAACTTTTAATGGAATAAAAAAGAAAAATAAAGTACGATTTCAGAAAAGAACTTTGTGTAGCATCTTGTAGTTAAACTTTGATAACTAATCACAAAAATCATTTACTAGGGGGATGCACCATTTAGAAATTTGTAAATGCAATTTCCATAGGTTTAGGTTTTCCCTTTACCTGCTTAGGTTAATGTGATTAATGTCAAATGAATTTGAGCTTCTGCACAAAGTGCACCGTAACAGGCTGTCAGTTAAATGTGCCGGGAAGGCGTAGCAAACAGAAACCTGAAGAGCTTTTATTTGTTCAAAGAACAGAAATGTTTTTTGGTTTTTTTCCAATTCCTAATCTCTATCAGCAGAAAATGGCATATCATATATGGTGCTGTCCTGTGGTACAAACTTAACTTACATCCGTACTAAATACAATTCAAACCCTAAACTTCAACCACCAGTCCTGCAGGCTACCCTCAGCTTTAGTTCTGAAACAGAAGCGCAGACAGAGCTGAAGCTAAACTCCGAGTTAAAAGCACACTTGAAGAGACACAAACTGTACATGTTGCTGCAGAAATACTGACGGAGATGTGATTTTGGAGGAAAGCTATTCTAACTTCTGTAAAGAGCTTTAAAGGTATAGTGGAGGAAGTTCTTTTTCTGGGTGGATCATCAAAATAAGTGGTCCTCCTAATTGTCAATCACTCTGGTGATATATTTACATAAGGCCGTCCAACGTGCTCGTCGACATTTTCACTTAACGGTGGTGAGCCTGACATAGTGAAAAAATTGCGAATCTTCTTTTGGAAAGTAAGCTTGTATGATTAATGCAAAGAGCAACTTTTAAACGGAGCGTGCACAAAGAGAAATGGGTTCACATATGCTCTTGCATGCATTTGATAGGTGTTCCCTCTCGGGAGCAGGTACAGGGTTGTGCATGTATTTTATTTTTATTTTTTTAAGTGGAGAGATTGGGTCTTTTCAAAAATTCGCAAAAATCCTCCACTATACCTTTAAGAAAATAGTAAATATGTATTTACTAAAAATATTAACAAAGAAGGGTTTTTAAGGTGGAAGTGTCAGTGTTTCTACCTTTTTCAAAACTAGTATTCAGCATCGATCCATTCGTCCATTCCTTTGGTTCCTCTTCTTCCTGGAACCTACAGAATTCCTCCTGTTTAATCTGCCGAAGTTCTGGTTCATTCTGGTCCTCGCTGAAGTTACTCTTCTGGTTACAGAATGGCTCCTCATCAGAGACTTCCTCCTCTGTACAGATACTATGCTGAGGGCAGTCTGTGAAATTAAATGGATAAGCAGAGAAGTAGGTAAGTAAATAATGTTTATTTATAAATGATTTTAGAAGATAAAAACTACAAACTGATGTACAGGGTAATAAATAGAAATAGAAAACAAAAAGTTGAAAAAAAAATGCTTATGAAGATTCTCAGTCATCCACTGACTTTTACGGATTGAAAAAAAACAAACTTTTTAGTTGCTTTTTTAAATGTTTCCACAGCCATAGGGAGGGATGAAGCAGGTTGTCTTGGGATGAATTAGTGTCTTGGGTCTTATAATGATTCAACACAGACTGGAAGCTAATGAAGAGCAGATAAAGCCAAAGTGATGTGGGCTGTTCTAGATGAATCGATCAAGAGTCAGACAGCTGAATTTTGTACCATCTAATGTGTGGCCAAAGCTGACTGCTGACACAAGTAAAACAGAATTGCAATAATCGTTGTGAGACAACCTGGATGATCATTTCAAGATCTAATTCTTGACACCATTCTTACTAGAGCTTTTTCTAATGTGATTAGGGCTGAAACAATTCATTGGATTAATCGTGATTAATCAATTGTTGAAATAATTGTCAACTAATTTAGTAATCAGTTCATTAAATGGAGTGTGGAGACTAAAACATGCCTTTAGCTGACACAGCAACCCACTTAGAGCAGTAATTATATGAAAATTGTATAAAAAAAATATATAAACATTTTGCTGAAAACCTTTTTTTTTATATGAAAAAAAATAACTTTTTCGTCTGTCAGTATGCTTTGTTTTGGTTTCCCATGCTTGATTTCATGAAAAAAAAATTTTGCTATGCGATTTTTTATCAAAAAAATAATAAAAATAGATTTATCAATTATCAAAATAATCCTTAGTTGGAGCCCTAAATGTGATTAAAAGCAGCTCCTGGTTATCAGCTGGGATGATCCTGCACAGTGTGACCAAACCTGAGGCCAGAAAATGAAAAGATTTGGAGTTTTTTTATGGGAGATTATTGATTTTTCTGAGGTTTATGTGATTTATGTCTATTTGTCTATGTTTGAATGTTACACTTAACTGTTTCAGAGGTATAAAAACTAAAACTGATCTAAAATCTAAACGTTAAGTCATAATTTTCATTAATCTCTGGTTGTATTTGTTTATTTGGTGGAGGCTTTTGTCTCTATTTATGTTCAGGTGAATTTAGTTTGGAAATTGGTGTTTTGTTTGGTTGATCTTAACTAGTCTCTTTTGTGTCTATTTGCTTGATTCATTTATTTTTTTGTTTGTTTTTTCCTATTCATTCATTCATAATAAACCCTGGAGCATAACAAAATGATATGCTTTTTTATTCTTAAAATGCCCCCCCCAAAAAACAGACATTTAAACCTTTCTGAGTGTATTTTGGGAGGTAATTACTACTAAAATACTACTTTTCTAGACAAAAATAGTATTTTTCTAGACATAGTTTTCTCTATCATGGTTAATGGGAGAAATACAGAAACATGAAACATCACTAGAAAGGCAAGGACGTCCGAAAGAGAACGGTGAGGCTTGATAAGTTAATTCTAAATAGTAAAAGAAGATTAGGGTGAACAAAACCTCCACTATGGACACAAATGAATGTTTTCCTCCATACCGATTTTGTGCAGGCTTATATGTGGTTTCCAGTAGGCATCCAGCAGTCTGGCCGTTTCCTCGTATCGAATAAGAGTTTTTTCAAACTCTGAGAAGATTTCTTCAGCAGCAGCAGTTAATCTTTCTTTGATGAACTCTTTAAACTGCTGAGATTGATACATTATGTTACCGAAATATCAAACTAACCGACGGAAAAGACTTAGCGCATGCGCACAAGCTTCTTCATCCTACACCTATTGTTTAATGGCGGTTGGAAAACAATTTAAAAAGCCACTACCGCCACCTACTGGAAAGGAATGTAAACAGAAAAAAAAAGTTTAAAAAAATGAAGGTCCTACCAAGCAAATTACGAATTACATTGTTTAAAAAAACTAAAAACATAACCTTATAGCGTTTACCTCTGTTTCTAAGTTTCAGAAATAATCAGCAAGGTCTAATAAGTTTTTTATACCATTAACGTTTTTTATGAACTTTTTTTTTTATTCAAGTTTTTAAAGATATATATATATATATATATATA